GTATTCCTAGCTTCATATCAAGCTGGGAAGACAGAAGTGTAGAGAGGTTGAGCATCTGGCATGAGTCTATTCCAAAGGCTTTATTTTCAGTGACCGCAAAGCCCCATTGGGCTGATACAGGAACTCTGAAGTGCAAACACTCAAGTAGAAAGGTTTCCTAGAGCAACAAGAGGTCTATACCTGCCTGCTTTAAGAACTGTCCACTGTGTGAGTGCCCAGTCAAAGTTTCTTAGGAGTGACCTGTGTTGCAATACAGTATTCTTTATATCCTAGGGCGAAGAGAAAATAATCAGAAGCAGCTCTGTCACTTAGAGCAGTCCTGAAGTGGTGCTATATTTCACTGAGGACATCAAAATAATCAAGATTTCTCCCTCTGAGTGAAAGAAGAGGGTGACTTGAAAAATAGGCAATGTGAACAAACAGCAGAATTGAAAGAATACCACAGTAACCCTAAGTTATCTCCTAACCACAGTGAATACAAGTCTTCATTTCCGTTCAGCCAGTAGCAAAATGAAAAAGCCTATTAATTTCCATCAGTCCTCACTCTCACTCACTGTTGCATACTTCACAGCTATTTGTCCATGCTCTCAGCACAAGACTGTGAATGCAGACAGTCTAGTGAATAAGCAGAACTTTCCTTTTGTAAACTTGGCCCAGGAAATAAAACTGGTAAAACTCAGTGATAGGCTTTTAAGAATTTATCAAAGGGAAAGTGCTGGTCTACCTGTGTCAGCACAGACCCCATAACAAAGGTCAGCTCTCAGAATGCTCATCTGCAGCAAGGAAAAAGATGCACAATCCTTTCTGTTCCACACCCCAACCCTGTGGTCTCAGGAGACCTAAGACACTTACAGATATTCTCACCTGGGAACCATCACTCTCCCATTTTGTATCTGAGTTTTGGGTTGGAAACATTTTTATACAGCAGATAATACATACATCTGTATATAATGGGTTCTCTATTGTCTTCACTTTTCCCCCACAGGTCATTTTTCTGTGCCTTAAATACCCATCTCCTTCCCTTAAGCAATAGAAGAGCCCAGCTGAGCCCCAGCACCTCAACCTTCTAGCACTTCTGATACCTCCACTTAGCAGCAAGCTGAACCAGGCTTTCTTCCATGATGCTGGGTAAACCTTAGGAGTTTATCCTAGTCCTTTCATTGATTTGCTACAAGGTTCATACAAGTGAGTTCATTAGTCAGTTTTTCCCAATGGAAAATAATAGTTTAGTCTCCTGAGGTATGAGAGCCTCTGGAGTCATAAAGAGCTGTCAACTTACCATAGGGAAAAGAATTCCCATGGAATAGCATCTGTTTACATGCAGTTTTATTACATATGAGTTATTGGATAGCTTCATCTCATAATTTTTTATACGATCTATTTATGTTTCTATAAATGAACCTCCACATTTCAATCCTTTACCTGGGACATTAAATAGAAGAAATTGGGCGGGAGGGAGGTGAAGGGAAAGGGAAAGGCTTTAAGCAACATGTTTTCTGCAGCAGACATTAACATGTATTTTCTTTGTTATCATTTTCCCTTTCTGTGAGTCATTCATCATGTTGACACAGCACATATGGCAGTGAAAAATTCTGGGCTGGACTCTGTACCATTAATGTTGAGTCATTTCCACCATTGCTAGCAACCACCATGTGAAATAGTTGTGTAAACCTCCTCCCTGGACCTTTATAAAACGATGCCAAATGCAGAGCACTGCAGCATTGTATATTTTGTTCTTTCTCACATATTCTAGGCTTTACATTTTGGCACATACAGTGTAATTTCCCCATATTTCTAGGCAGTAGTCATGTTTGTATTTAGGCCTCCATCAAACAATCCCATAAGCTTGTATGAAGCCAAAGTTTCTCTTAAATAACTAAGAATGGCAGGTAGGAAAAGCAGTTTATTTGGGATTTATGAATGCTGGATAAGGTTATAAAATTGCTGCATCCTGGAAAGGTTAATGTTACAGTGAATCAGCTATTTGCTACCATGGCTGGTGTCATAGAGCTCCCTGTAAAGGGAAAACTGTCTGAGTCACTGACATTAATATTCTTCCATGTAAGTAGGCCTGTCTTAGAAGAAAGGTATGGCTGCCTTTGCACCCATAATCTTGCCCTTGCAAGAGCTGGGGGTGTGTCATGGAAAAATCCGAGCAAAAGAGAAGGGACAAAGAGCAGGAAGTGGCTTTTGAAAACACGGATGTGAAAAATTCAGGAGACTAAAAGGATCACGGTTTGACCAAGGGAAGTCTTTTGACCATTGTGTTGGGAGAAGGAAAAGGTAACTTGTTCTGGGAGAAGGAGATAGTTTTAAAGCATGTACAGTCTGTGGCAGATTTACTCTTGGGAGGGAAAGGGACAGGAGAGGAAAACATGAAGCTAGGCAGATTCTCCATGTCACAAAGGAAGTGGGTGTGAAAGTGATGTGGCATAGGAATATGGCTGTCACAGAGAAATGGAAGAACTCTGAAGGTCTGCAGAATCTTTCCAGAGAAACTGAAAGGCATGTGTCCCTTACCAGTAAAATTGAAGTTATCAGTAAAAATCCCAAGAAATCTGAAAAACTGTGGATCTTTGGTTTGTTGCTTTAATTTCAAGAGCTTGTTTCCTTCTGCTTTCCAGTTTCCTGTATCTGCAGTCTCCTGTATTAGGATGACTGTTCTAAACTACCCAGTCTTGGCTAACAGCCCCACTTGCAAAGTACTCTCCAAGCAGTGCGACATTAGGGATATGCTACAGTTATCACAACGTGTCTGTGAATAACCACCTACTCTGTCTGCATTTCCCTACAGACAGCAGAATAAGTTCTGGGTGGGGAGTGGGGAGCACAAAACAACAAAAATTGGTGCAGTTGCACTTTTTTTCATTATCTCCAGGCCAGGCATTAGATTTTAAGAGAAACTGTGGGCCACCAAATAAAATTGCTCATAAATGTAAATTAAAGCTCATTTAATCACAGGTGCAAATTGTGCTTTTTAACTGGTCAGAGAGTTAGCGGTTTAGGTTTTTATGTCTAAGCATTTCTCCTGTAAGAGCAATAAGGTCTCTAGATGTCTGCAGAAATAAGGTGCATTTGCCAATAATGACAGACATAGAAATGGAATCCACATGTTCTAAATGATCACATAATGCTTTCAGACATGTGAGGGTCGTGTCAAACCGTGACTTAAAATAGGCAACAGTTAACTGGTGACAATTAACTGCTTCTTGGTGACATTAGTTAGTCCAGAACCATTGACTCACTCACACTCGCTAAACAGGGAGATTTGGTGCTTTCTCTTTTCAGCTATGAAATGTAAATATTTTATGAAGGCAGAAACTGGAGTTAACATGCTACATGCTTGAAGATATGTTTAAAGTCTCATGACTTAGCTTAAAGTAGGTGACAGGAAGCACAGAAAAAGAGAAGCTCCTTAAAAGACATTAAAAATACGTGTTTCTCTCTACAGGTTATTTATCCATGAGGTCTCACAAGACAAAGCTAAGTTATACCTCCTCACAAATCAGCAGGAAGCCTGTAGTCTTATAACAGGGACCTAATTTGAGATGAATAAACAGCCTGATTTAGAGAAGGGACAAGCTGTGTCTTCCATCTTTTAGGTGAGTGTCCTAATCCATAGGCAATAGGTGATTCTACAATGGGAGCTTCTCCTTATGCAGCCACTTCTGTTTTGAATCAACAAGTATATATGGCATTGAGAAAAGAAAAGCAAGATAGCTGGTGAGAGTGGTCTTCTAGGGTGTCTGAGACTCATGTTTGAGCCTCTGACTTTCTGGCCTCAGGATATAATCTTGAATGAGGTTTTCTTGTAAACCAGGGTACTTTTGCTACCATGCTTAGATTTACCAGACCTACCTGGAACATACTCTGTCCCATTAATATTGCAATGGAGAACTCAGTTCATCTGTACCCGCATCGTCTTTAGCAGTCTGTTTTCCCTCTGACCCAGATATGTGACCTAAAACTTCGATTGTCTGGGTCAAATTCAGATGTCTGGGAAGTTTAAGCACGCTGATCTGAAACAAGAAAGAAAGAAAGAAACCTTTGTTTCTGGAAAGGTTGCGGTTTCATCTGATATGAAATGGAGAAATACCTTCAATCTTCAGAAATTCTAATGGCATGAGAAAATTATTTCTTTACAGTTGCAGTGCTGTTGGAGAGAACTGTAACAGAAATGCTAGGAGTGGTATGAACGGGAATTGTTGGGTGTGGAAGTACTGAAAGGGACACAAGGTCAGAAAAGGACTTGCCTGTGTTGATGGTACATAGATTAGCAAATCATCAGGACTTAGCACACATACATGTGCAACTTCTTGTTGAGAGACAAAGGACAGTAAATCCTGATTACTCACAGAGGTGGGACAGGATGGACAGACTGATCACTGTCAGCTCCAAAAGAATACAAAAAGGCACTTGCAAAACCAGCACATGGTCTCCAGCCTGCAAAGGGCACCGATGCAAGGATTCAGGAGCTGATGTCCTTGTCCTCTGCATCATTGTAAGGAATGCTGGGAGACTGCCTGGGCACATGTTTTGGTGCCAGTGCACTAGACAAACTGCTTGAAATCTTGCACATGCCTCCCAGGGCCTGACTGCTTAGCAGGTTGCTTGGATGCATACATCCTAGTGCTTGTACATGGTTGGGAGGGCACATATGTGAATGAGTGCCATCTGATTCACAATCTTATTTTACAACAAAATCAGCTTCCCCTCCTGTAAGGTCTGGCCTTGACATTTGCTGTTTTCTTGCTGTCGCAGAATTTCCTACACCAAGTATTTCTGGAAACTTAGACCATACCGTCTTAAGTGACCTCCAGAATTCAGTTTTCATGTGTTTGTTAGAGTTCTCAAAGCAATTTATATTTAAATAGTTTAAAAGGGAAAGTTAGATCATTAGCTTCATTTACAGCCACTGGTTTAGACAACTCTTAAGCAATCCCCATGGGTGATGCCAAGTTACTGTAGCTATCCAATCGGATAATAAGAATGAACACAAATTGAATCACTGAGACTGTGTGGTTTTAATAAAGCAGAGGAAGACCAGTTTGCTGAGCGAATAGAGAGACTTGTTGACTACAAAACAAAATTGAGGGGTGCTGTGTGCATCATTGTGGCTTAAATTAATGACAGGGACTCACTCAAACATGGATCATCAGTGTGGGTTTTTCATTGTGGACATTGGAGTGAGCATTGAAGACAATGCCTACAAAGTGAATACAAAAAAAAGATTTGTAATTTTTATTAGCATTGCATAGGAGATCTATATATTACCAGGAAAACAAAGAGCCTGATCTCAGTCTTGGATAAAAAGGGATAACGTGTTACTTCTGTGTGTGTATGTGTATATTCAGAATTTACTCATTAGAGAGTGAAGATGCCAGTAAGCATAATCATGACTCGGCACATACCTCTTAGTCTGTGAAAGGATATTAGCAAGCAATGAATAACTGATGCATTTGAGCAATTTAGAATCTATGGCCTTTTTAAGGTCCTAAAATATGGTTTAGTCTTCTTCTGACCTTAAAATGAGGTTTAAAAAGAGAACTGACATACCTCAACCTTTCTATTTACTCCCTATCATAACTACTGGATGTCAAATTTGTTAAGGTGGATAGTAGACAGACCTCAGAACTACAGCACCTGAGCTTAGATTTTGCTTATTCCACTGGCTCCTATACTTGTCCACAGACGAATTATTTAAGCCAAAGTTTCAAAATCGTTACCCTAACATGGTATTGCACTGTCATGAGTGCTCAGATACCCCCCTGTGACCTTTGATGCAGAACCACAAGCTGAAATTCAGTTTTGTCTAAGCAGAGCTGTGATGCTTGCAGAGTGGGAGAGCTTGGTGGCATTATTCAATGGCATGCTTTTGTATCAGAAAGCATATGTATAAGGCAGAGAACATGTACCAGGATAAAGATCAGAAAACCTAAGATTAGCCATCACCATTAAAGTAATTATTTTGCTGAAACTCTTTTATCACATGCCACTGTTCATGGCACCCCTACCTGGATGGCAAGACATTAACACCTTCCCAGGGGAAATACATGCTCTTCCAGGAACCTTCAAAAGTCTAGGGGCTAATCTGTGCCTTAGGTGCTGCTGCCCTGCATCACTGCTCTGACACCAGGCCAGAATGACTCAGCACCTCCTGTTGCTTTACAGCAGCAAACCCAAACCTTGTGTGGAGTCCAAAGGTGACCTGTTTTTCTGCAGTCACCTCACAGCAGCAGCAAATGGTGAAGACTGCCTGCAGTGTAAGAAAGGGCTCTGAGGCTTCACTCTTAAAAGCACCACAGGCTCCTTCTATAAACCTTCATCAAGTCATTTAAATGTGCTGTCCAAATCTGTTCATTGCTAAAACAGATCCTGATTCAAAGCTCATTTATCTTAAAATGCAGTAAAATATCAGTATGTTTTGGATTCATTACAATTTTTTAAACAAAAGATAAAGTCACTTTAACTATAGATTTTGTCCATATGTGAAATGTGTGTATTATGGGCTACAAAATTTGAGCACTTGTGTGCAAAACTGAAAATGTTTCTTCAGCAATGTTTTATCATGATTTTCTTTTATCATATTTTTATCATAACTTTTAAATCATAATTTTATCACTTATTATGATGATCACTTTTCTCATAATTTTCTGGCTTTCAGGAAGCCTTTTTTTTTCCTGTTTCCATTTCAAAATAAAACTTGCATTAGAAAAAAAAAAATATATAAAAAAAAAGAAAATGCAGAATTGGCACATTTCAACCAGCTTATCTAAGAACACTGCAAATTTTGTTTGGGTATTTCCTGCCTTGAAATCTGTTCTGGCATCAGCACGCTGAGATAAATAACCTGCTGAGAGTACCCTGTGCTCCAGGCGCTCCCTTGCTCTCTGAAGAGCTAGTTTAGGAGCTCCACCTTGGCTTTTCTCCCAGCTGCAGCATACAGGGAGGATCAGGAGCACAGCTGGTAGGCGCAAGCCGTGGTCTCTGTTTCACAGGACCTCAAGAGGCACAGCACAAATTACACTGGCCCTGGGGAGGCTCTGGCTCACAATTAGAGTTGTTGCGGCCCCTGCAGGACTCCCGAGAATGAATCCAAAGGTAACTTCAGCTGATACTGCTTCCCTGGCTGCAGTCATTCCCCTCCAGCTTGAAGTGCAGGACCTGGGTAACTGAGCATAGGATTCGTTATCTCCCTCTTCAGCATCAGACCACAGAAGCCCGGTTTCTTTCAGTCTTTTTCACTGTGAAATCTGGATATGCACATCAAAAGCAGTACTGCTGCCTCTAAAAGATTTTATTGCAAATCACAGCCACTAGCCATGTGATTGCATAACAAAGGCTTTATTTTCAAGCTGCAGAACAAGACATGAAGCCCAGAAACCAGATGACGGTTTGAAGAGCTCTAAGGCTCTTGAAACCAGGTGGCAATTTAAAGAGTTCTAAGGCTATTATTTACTTAAAAGGAAAAATTTCATGAGTTTTAAGCCCGTTGTGATTTTGAAAACTGAGTCGTGAGTTTTGAATACCTGGGCTTAGTGAAGGTGGGGAAACAGCTGCTTTTGTAGCACTAAAAATGTTAGTGCAGTCCTGAACACAGTTTTGGTGCATACACTGTTCTTTGAGTAGCATCCTGCATAAGGGAGAGGAATAAGTAACAAAAATTGTGCAGTAGGTTTTATGGCAGCTGCCGTTTTTAGAGCTGAATATTGTGGAACGTGGTAACAACAGCAATTCTCACTGTGCAGGTTGCAACTTTCTCAGGGAGGCACTAAGTCTGAAGTCCTACCTTTGTATGAGAGTTTGTCAATGAAAGAATAGATGTTGAGAAAGGCTATGCTTTCAGTTTAATAGATATTCTTTATGGCTTATTTTTTGCTTGGTTCTCTTCTTCTGTCCTTCTACCTCTGCAGCACTGTGGAGCCTCAGGATCATAACAGAGAGGTGATCACTTCTGCATGAAATAAGGTGGTTTATTAAATCTTGAGTCATAGGTGGCCAAAAATACCCAGTTTCCCTTTGTGGGTACATTCACAAACTGCATGTAACTTCTAAAACTTACGCTCTTTACCTCATCTTGCTTCAGACTTTAGGGTAAGACACATACACCTCTTCACTATCAAGAAATGTGCTCACTGGGCTGTAATTTTTCACAAAGATGAAACTGGAGCAATTCTACAAATGTTGGCAAACAGACTGCTGCTCCCAAAGGCACACATTATGGTTAAAGCCAGTGTTTTCTCTCTAGCTCTGTGTTAAAAACACAAGTTTGGTTCTTTTCTTAGTAATAACTGTTTGATGAGAAGGGCTTAAATAGTGACAATGCTGGATCAGAAGACTGTAAGTTTGGGATGATTTCAGGACATGCTGAAGAGCCAATTGGTCAAATACTGCAGTTGAAACTCTTACTTTTTTGGGGGAAAACTTAGAGAAGAAAGCCTGAAAGAGTGAGTGCTCCATCTGCTTTCACACTTCTCTGCGAACACCATAAAAATGCAGTAGTGCAGAGACCATTTACATATGAAATATCTGGTGTTGATAAATTTCTTTTATTGCCAGGCAACTGGATCAAATAATCAGTTAATGATAAGCAGAAGTAAATCTGATATGAGTATCTAACCAGAAATTCCTGAGGTGTAGAAGTATAACCTTAGAGATCAGTCACATTCCATCTTACATATAGATATTCACCGGACTCATCATCAGCTAAGGTGTCCCGAGAAATACACACTCTTAGAATTGATACAATAACAGATTGTCTTTGGGTTTCCTGTATTTTTTTTTTGCTGGCATACAGAGTTCTACCTCCTCAAATGCAGAGTTACTTGCTACGATTTTGGCAAGGACAGAAATTTGGCTACTTCATGGCTCTCAATAGCTTCCAGCCACTAACGTAAGAATTAGATGAGGAGAAACATCTTCTGGTAAAAAAACTTTCCCTCCTGACAAGAATGTTTTCTCTAAACATGCTTTGTTTTGAACCCTTTAAAGATTTCCAGTATTCCAAAAGCAAAATTCCTTGAATTGAAAACAGAAAAAATGGAAGTTTCCAATGAAGCTTTGGAAGAAACGTCCATCTTTCTTTTCAAGAAAGTATTTCCACCTCAGTCTAAGAATAATTGCAACAGCTTTTGAAATTCCAGGATCGTCTTCTTCCTCTTGTGACAATGCATGGAGTAGGGACATCATCTCCCACATAGTTAATATTTATTTTCCTGTGACTAAAGAATGCATGGCTGAAGCCTCCTGTGATGCCTAAAAAAGGAGCTGATAAATATTTTAAGCACTGCCTGGCTGAGGAACTCCTGGTCCTTGACAAGGAGCACTTACGTAATGGCCTTGGTACCACTTCTGTTCTTTATGGACGCTAGTCCTTGACCTTTGGTCATCCTTTCAGCAGCTTCAGCTCTGTTCTCTTCCTCACTGGTTGATTTCAGTGAAGTACATCTGTGCAGCCTATAAAGCAAGGACTTCATGTAAGGAATGCATCTGGCAGCACCAGTTTTTGGCAGCCACAAGTAACTTCAAGTCACAGTGCATTAGTGGCTCTGGCTTTTTTTAGCATTCACCCTGTTACCCTGTATAGCATAGAAGGCAAAGTTTAGTTTGGTCATTTACACTCAAACAGAGCAGCAGCATCTTATGCAGTTCCTCTGCACTTTCAGGGACACTAGGAGATACAAGCTGGTGGCTTATTTATGTGATTTAATGTGCACAGTACATACAGGAAAATTCATTGCTAAAGTTACCACTACAGAGCATTGTTCTGACACATTATCATCACATAAATATGTATAAATCAGAAACATGGATGCTTTATCGTTTACTGATATTTCTTTTTGGTCAAGCTTGACAACTGTATTAGGATCAGGCCCTAGGAATCTGTGTATTTCCATTGGGGAGAAAATCTGCTCATGCACAAAGTGAAGCCACCTGCCTTTTGTGACATTCAAGTGCAAACTCCACTTTCTCAGTTGTATAACTGAAGTTATGCAAGTTGCTATCAGCCTTGATGTGCTGCTCCATGACATTTACCTTGCTCATCATGTTCTTTCAAGTCAGAATGGGGAACAGCACAAACACTGCAGCAAAAGGAAATAATGTGAGGAAAACTGCTAAGGGTTTTGAAGGAGCCCACTGCAGTATTAAGGAAACACTGGGAAGATAATGACTTTTCTGTCCTTTGGTGTGATTAAGCACATAAACACTCTGGGTAACTCAGATGTTCTGGTATTTGAAGCTGTAGGATATATGTCAGTTTAAATCCAGATAGCCAGGGATTAGTATCAAGGCTTATTTTAATACAGAAGCCACACAGGATTAAAGGAACTACTTGTTTTTCTTCTTATACAGAGAGGGTGAAAATAACTCCTGGAGAGCACAATATTTATGCATCATTTAAGTCCTGTTCTGATGCTGCTAAGTAGAGCACTGTGATGTCTTGCTGCTTAAAGGTGACCTTAACCCAGCAGGGGTACTCCAAGGTGTTTATCTGGCCCCTGTCAAGACATGTAAGAGAACTGAAAGTGTTTCTAAGGGCAGATTTATAGCACCAGAAAGAACCTGATTAAACTCTCCAAGATTTCTCTGAGGGTTATTTGGCAAAGTATTTTATTTAAATATTTATTGAATCTGATGCTGTTTCATAAAAGGTATTTGTATTATTTAAATGTCCTCCACATGACTATTTATAAACCTTGCTTCTAATCTAACCCTTTTAATCAAGTTCTCTCTATTTTAAATTAAACTTCTACATTGGGGTTATACAGTTTATTGTTGATTTATATCCTAAATCACTGGCTTTCTACAGTCTTCTAGAATATGACCCAGACTGCAGAA